AAGGAAGAGGGGGAAGGGAGAAAACAACTTTGTTGTGCAAAGAGAAGGCTCAACCCCAGTATCTCCTAACACCTGCCTAGCACTAGCCACAACCTTTCAATGCATCAACTTGGGGTTTTTCTGGGTGTATTTTCCATTGCCATGTTGGCTTTCTAGGAGTTCCAAGCCATACTTTCCTGAGTTATTCTTCTGTCTTATGGTCTAAGAGCAAAGACTGTATTTAGCATTCTCCCAGCAGGGAATTTGTTGTCCCAACATGGTAAAGGCACACCACAGGTCCAGTTGTTTGGTTTCATTTGCCAGGACTGGCTACTGTGGCCAAATTCTCATCACGCCTAATCTCACCTCAGCAAGAAATAGGCCTTAGCAGTTTAAGTCTTTCTTTAAAAGCAATTCATTAGGAAGCTAATGGCTCAGGAGGGGAAATGATTTTAAAAAACACACCAATTGTTTTTTCTCAGATTTTCTGTTTGCCTGCTGATGGAGTGAAATGGAGAGAGAGGACCCAGTGTCTACATGCCCACAGGACCCCAGGTCCTCTGCTTCTCTCAGTGAATTCACACTTGGGAGCTGGCATTTGTTTCCATCTTGCAGTTGAACATGCGGGCTTTGTAAGTCCACTACCTTGCCAAAATACAAACATCACATGCATCAGGGTCAAACCCAAGTCAGGGAGAGCCACAAAATCCATGGTCTTTCCATCGAAGCTATCTTGAATCCAGGCTAAACATGCAGCCTCTATATGGTGGTAGCCCAGAATCTGAGATGAATATAAAAATTTAATAAAATCAGAAACCTGGGACCAATGGTTCATTCCTCCAATCCTAGCTAGTCAGGTAGCTTTTCAAGATAGAAAAGTTTGTGAGACTCCATCACAAAAAAGAAAGAAACAAAGAAAAGGTGAAAAGAAAAAGAAACTGGGCACTAGTGGATCACACCTGTAATTTTAGCTATCTAAGAGGCTGAGATCCGAGGATAGGGTTCTAAGCCAGCCCCGACAAGAAAATCTGTGAGGTTTTTTTTATCTCCAATTAACCACCAAAAAAGCCTGAAGTAGAGCGGTGGCTCAAATGGTAGAGTACTAGCCTTGAGCACAAAAGCTCAGGGACAGAACCCAGGCTCTGAGTTCAAGTCAGGAACACTGGCATGCAGGCACACATATATGTATGTGCCTGTGCATGTGTGTGCATGTGTATATACACGTACATGTACACACATGCACACACATACAACAGAGACAAAATAACCAGTAAAGAGAAGAGCTGAGGAGTGGTTCAAGTAGTACAGCATCAGCTGAAAAAACATGAGGTCTCAGTTCAAATGGCAATTATTTTTTAATTCTGGTACTGAGGCTTAAACTCAAGGTCTGGGTACTGTCCATTAGCTTTTCCACAAAAGAACAGCACTATGACACTTGAGTCACAACTCTACTTCTGGCTTTTTTGCTACTTAATTGGAGATATGAGTATCATGGACTTTCCTGCCTAGGTTAGCTTTGAACTGTGATCTCAGATCTCAGATTCCTGAGTAGCTAAAATTACAGATATGAGTCACTGGCTCCTGACCATCCCCCCCAAAAAAAAATTGGAAGTGGTGTTGTGGCTCAAAATGGTAGAGCACTAGCCTTCAGCACAAAATCTCAGGGACAGTGCGCAGGCTCTGAGTTCAAGTCCCATAACCAACCAAAAAAAATATAAATAAAAGTTATAATAAAATCAGAATCATGTAATGACCCAGATTGTACAGTTTCATTAATATGAGCACTCCTGTTATTAATTATACCTTTTCCTAAGGGCCTAACCTTTATTTAAAGAATTTTTTAAGGTCTAGAGATGTACCTCAATGGAAGAGTGCTGCCTGACATGCATAACACCCTGGGTTTGATCCTCAGCATCACAAGAAAGGAACATTTCAGAAGAGGTAAAACGTGTTAGCCAAGCATGAAGCTACTTCTGTGCTACTTAAAGAAGCAATCATAATAAGCTCAGTCACAAGAAGATACTAGGAATTGTTCCTCCCACTGTGGAGGCTGAAAGCCTCACATCACCACCACTCCATAATACTCCCTGCCACTAGAGCATGGCAGACTGTGTCTACCACCATCAAGGCTGTACTTGGCAAAGCTCCAGTACATCTTCTTTTCTCCTCTAACCTCCTCCTGTCTCTTTAAGGGAGGAAAGTTGCTATCTGTACATCTTCTCCTGGATCTATGAGAAACCCACAGAATTCTATCTCCAGGCCCAGTTACCTCTAAGAAGTTCTATCTAGTTCCCCTAGGAGGGTCCCCAAGTTTGTTGCCCTCAAAGTTCCTGGAAATTTAAGAATACCAACTTCATCCTACTGAGGAAAAGATCATCTTCCCCTAAGGCTGACACCCAGCAGAGCAGAGGATGCTTACAAACAAAGCTCAGGAAAACTCTCACCGTCTCAAATTCCCGGCCCTTAATTTCTTTGAAAGCTTCAGCCAGGACCTCATCCTCAAACCACTGGTGAACAAGATCATCCCTTGATGCTTTGGTGGTCATTCTATACAATGCCTCAGTAAGCGACACCTGCTGGTTGTAATCTAGAGATTGAAAACACAATAAAGCCACCACATACATCATCCTGGACACAAAGAAACAGGAAATGGGAATTTCCAAATCAGCCCCTGCTCCAAGAGAGCCCAATTTAGTTGCAGCTCTATGGTATTTCCAGTACTGTATCTGCACCTGTTTTGGTCATTTAATTATATTTAAGATTAGACAGAAATTATATTTAAATAACTTCTTCACTGTATGTATATGTGTATGTGTGTATGTATATGTGTGTATGTGTGTAAGTGTGTATGTGTGTATGTGTGTGTAAGTGTGTATGTGTGTATGTGTATGTGTGTGTGTGTGTGTATGTGTGTGTAAGTGTGTATGTGTGTATGTGTATGTGTGTGTGTGTGTGTATGTGTATGTGTGTGTGGACATGTGCACATGCAGGCCAGTTCTAGGGCTTGAACACAGGGTCTGGTGCTATCTGAGCTTTTTTTGCTCAAGGCTAGTGATCTACCTCTTGTAGAAAAGCTCCATTTCCAGCTTTTTGGTGGTTAATTGGAGCTAAAAGTCAAACAAACTTCCCTGCCCCAGATGGCTTCAAACCAGGATCCTCAATTCTCAGCCTTCTAGGTAACTAATATTACAAGCTGCAACTTCTGCTCTTAATTAAGAGAAACAATATGTTGGTACACATACTTTTGACAATATATTCCTTGGCTTCACATTTTAAGTACTTTGAACAAATAAATCATGTAAAAAATATTTCTACCACAAAACATAACAACCCAAGATTAACTGTGATATTTTATATATCTGAGAGACCAAAACCGCATAGATTAATATGTTCAAATCTTGAATGATTCTCAGAATAAAAAGGGAACTATAGGTTAAGTATGTTCAAGAGGATGGCTTTTATGTAACGTTCTTGAAATTTACAGAACAGTAAGGGTGCTTATGAGTAACAGAGAAGAGTAAGTATGACAATGAGAAAACAAATATAAGTAACAGAGAGGGGAGTGAAATTGGGGCACGGATGCAGGAGACTTTATTTGTGATTCTTGCTTATTTTTTTTCTAAAAAAGTATTAGAAGTCAGGCACCAGTGGCTCCTCTTAGCTACTCAGAGGCTGAGATCTGAAGAAAAACAATCAAGGTTCAAATCAGGCTCAAGGAGGAAAAGCTGTGAGACACTTGTTTCCAATTTACCATTAAAAAGCTGTAAGTGGGTGCTGGGAAGGTTGCTCAGTGGTAGAGCGCTTGCCTTGAATGCCTGAGGCCCTGGGTTCAATTCCTCAGCACCACATAAGCAAAAAAAGTTGGAAGTGGTGCTGTGGCTCAAGTGGTAGCGTGCCAGCCTTGAACTGAAGAGCTGAGGGACAGCGCCCAGGCCCAGAGGTCAGGCTCATGACC